TCTCTCTCGGTCCCTGCTTCTCGGTGCATGCACTCGCATTTTGTGCATCTAAAACACAGTAGCACTGGTAGTAGTAGTCGTCGTCGTAGTGGTAGTGGTAGTGGTAGTGGTAGTAGTAGGAGGAGGAGGAGGAGCAGACGTAGGAGCAGGAGTGATAGCCCTCCTCCAATCCTCAGCACCCAGTCCCCAAGAGGCTAGGGCACAGATTTAACTACGCTCTAAGCCCTAAACTCCAGACACATAGAAGAACGGCTGCACAAATTTAAGACCGCCAAGCCTTAAACTTTAAAACCTAGATTAAATACATAGACAGACGGCCAGACAGACAGACACAGACAGCCAGGCAGACGGACAGCCAGGCAGACAGACAGACAGGCCCATGCGCGAACACAAGCAACACCGAAAGAAAAATGGCTGAGGCCAGAGCCAGTCCGAGTCCAACTCAGCCTTGTCCTCTGCAGACAGCGTCCTTAGCTTGAGCGGAAGGGAACGGGTCTTGCGGGGCGTCCTGCTCATATATTGGCTGTAGGAGCTAAGCTGAAGTTTTAACAGGCTTTACATATGGCCAGAAAGAGTATAGAGCTCACAAGGGGCTTCAGCAGTTTAGCAGTTTAGGGAATTAGGACCTAGCTTATCTTCCTGGATTCAGAGGCCTTGGGTTTCAGGCTTTGAATCTCCGACACCCCGATTAAGGCGCTCACCTCTCAGCTCCCACCTCCCACTCCCCAACCTCCACCTCCCAAGTTTAGGGTTTTGGTTTTCGGGTTTAGGGGTTTAGGGTTTTAGGGTCTCACCTGGGGGAACCGCAAGGCCCGCTGCAGGCTGCAATGCAAGACCATAGCGCGCTCTACCGCAGAAGTTTTGGTACCGACCGGCGGGATGACAACCCTGATTCAGGGTATCTTGGATTGGTTTAGGGTTTAGGGTTGGGGGGGGAGGTGCTAGTAGGATATAGGAATTGCAGGGTAGAGTGGTTTGTTTTCAGCTTTATTACCATGCAAGGTATCATAACACATCAAATGCTGATACCATTGTATCATGGGTAGGTTTCGGTGGGCTTCGAAGATTCGGACCAGGCTGGGCATAGGGTCTGGCAGTGGCATACACATTCAGAGCATGTATGCATGTATATGTATACATATATGTACATA